AAATTCAAACTTGTGCACCCAAGTCTTGTTTTTTAAACTAATTAAAGATGTGTGCTGTACAATCATTCCACCCTGGAAAGTGCGTGCATGTAAACGTCTGCTCATGATGGTATAAAACAATGCATTAGTTTGTGCTTATTTTTAGTTCTAATCAATGAAATTACATGGAGAACCCATCTGTAATTGAGTCTTTTTTGGTAACTAGACCAGAGGGACTACATCTGTGAGTTTTGTGCTCGCGCCTTCAAGAGTTCCCACAATCTGGCCGTGCACCGCATGATACACACTGGAGAAAAGCCTCTACAGTCAGTACTTCTCTGTTCACACGTTTTGTTTTCTCAGTTTATTTTCAGCTCAGTGGTTCATTAAATTTCTTGCTTCCTGGTGTGAATAGGTGTGAGATCTGTGGCTTCACCTGTCGTCAGAAGGCATCTCTCAACTGGCACATGAAGAAGCACGATGCTGATGCTACCTATCAGTTCTCCTGCTCTATTTGTGGAAAGAAGTTTGAGAAGAAGGACTGCGTGGTGGCACACAAGGCCAAGAGCCACCCGGAGGTGCTAATTGCTGAGGCGCTGGCAGCAAATGCCGGCGCTCTCATCACAACCCCTGCCTCTCTCTTGGATCTTCCGGGAAATCCTGCGCAAGCAGAGGTCACTGGCTTGGATGCGAACCAAGTTGGGCAAGACGGCCAGGTGGACCAGCTGGGCCAGGATGGGCAGCACGTGCCTCAGGTCTCCCAGATGGGTCATGTGACCCAGCAGGTGAGTCACCAGGTGGTTTTGCTGGGACAAGATCAGAGCCTCCACACCATGCAGGTGCCTGTGACAATTGCTCTGTCCCCTATTGACCCCCCATCACCGGCTGAGAACCAGCAGCAGACCCAGCTCCAGCTTCAGATGCCCGTCCAGTTTGTGCAGACTGCCCAGCAGCCCCAGCAGCCCCAAATCCAACAGCTGACCCTCCATTCCAACTCAGTGGTGACCCAGCATCAACCGCAGCTCCAGCCTCTTCAGTCATACACTTCCCAGCAGCAGAGCCAGGGCCAGACACAAATCCTGCAGATGACCTTCCAGCCTGTCAGCCAGTCCCAGACCCACATCCAGCAGATCCCCATTCTAGCAGCCTCTCAGCAGCTCCAGCCTCTGCAGACAGCATCCCCGAGCCCTCCTCTCATGTCCACTTCGCAAACCCAGAGCCAGGTTCCCGTCTCCACCAGCGGGGACAGCTTTATGTTGGACAATCCGGTGCTCTCTTCCTCCTCTCCCTCAGCCACCTCTCTTCAGCAGACAGAAGTGGTGGGGGAGGATGGTGTAATCTGGGAGCAGGCCGGGCAGGGGGAGGTCCTAGCTGATGGCACTGGGAGACACATGCAGCAGACCCTCATGTAAAACAAAAAGGATGCCAACAGAACGTAATCTAGAGGCAGTTTATGTTACCAGTGACCTGACATACTGTTTCACCACGTTTGAGGTAAATGTAGGCTCACTGGTATATTATGTAATGCTCACTCATCGTCACATTTGGTAGATTTTTAGACTTCGTATCAGGGAAAGATATGCGTTTGTATGTGTATGTTGTTGCCTTTGTACCTAACAGTCCTGTAACTAGCCACTTATGAGTGTTTGTGTGTGTGGGTGTGTATATATATTGATGAGGTCTTTTTGCACAGCTGTTGCTATTATGCAATAACATAGCATACCTCTTAGTAATATACAGCACATCTAATGTGTAATGTGCAGCATCAACAAAGTTCCTACTGGAATAAATCGGTTTAATTTATATCATGAAACACATGAGAAAGTTATAAACTCCCTCACTGTGTGTGTGTGTGTGTGTGTGTGTGTGTGTGTGTGTGTGTGTGGAAACACTCATTTATTGTCCAGCTTTCCTGTGACACTTTTTATTTAACAAGGTTAGAAATCAGCTAAATCTACAAAAAAAGACATTTCAAAACTTGGAAAAGACACCAAAATTTACAGATTGTGCATATTCCAGATTTTGTCTGTTTTAATGACATTAGTGCAGCTTTGAAGGAAATGATAACCCCTGTAGTTTAACTCTACAAGACTTTTAGGAGCTGAAATGTACCCTTGAACACTGCGACTCAAATGTAAGCCCATCAAATAACAGCAAGCACTGATTTGTGAATAAGATTTGTTTAATGTAATTTGATAAGCAAAGCTATGTAGAAACCTTATGTGTCAGCGGCATCTCTCTGATCTCTCACATTAGATTTGTGTTAGAGCAAACAGTCCACTTAAAGGTTGTAAATAAACATCTTAACATTTATCCAATGTGTTTTTTATTGAATGAGTTCTGAAAGCCCTCCAGTTTCCTCTTTTCAACAGGAGCAGCAGCAACAGTCCAGTTAGAGCCATTAGCAGTGTGGTTGGTGGTTCCAACCCCAACTCTTTGCATCCGAGTGTTTAAATTTTATTAGGCAGGCTCCTACTCTGTATGTGGGATATAAGTAGTATTGAATCAAAGTGTCTGGAAGACATAATGTAACTAGAAGTGAGTCAGGACATATTGGCTCGCTCTCTGTTCCTTTGCATCGTATATTGCTTCATAGCTCTTTTAGGAGGAATCAAGCTGTCACTCAGTCCGACCCTCTTCTTCTTCACATGCTGCCCTTCTGGCTCTTCCTCCTTTGTTTCCCTCTGGGACCTTCCGCCAGATGAACCGCCTCCAGTTTCTGGTGTCTCTTCACTCTCAGGTGGATGACAGTCAGTGGAGATGACTGGCTTCTGGAGGTCACTGTCATGAGCAAATTTACATTTGATCCCAAACCTGCACCTTCCATCTTTCCTGTAGGACATGCATATCCTTTTACCTCCTATCTGGGAGGGTTTGGCCTGCATGGTGAGGGGGACGTGCTTCTGCAGGGCGCTGAGCTTCTGGTCTGCTTGAGCCTTAAATGGGTTGGCAAACACGCTGCTGTCAAATGACGCATTTAGCGGTGGAGAGGGCAGTTTTTTAGAGGTGATGGAGTCCAGCGAAGGAGTAGGCAGTTTGGAAGGGCGGGCTGCCGAAGTGGGTGGTGGTGAGGGCTCTGGATCCTCGTCCTCTGCCTCCGATTCACTGGAAGCGGAACCAGACTCCAGCAAAAAGTTGCGGGTCTTTTTAAAAGGCGCTTCCTCTTCACACGTTTTCCCAGAGCTTCAAAACGACACAATAACAGGACGAAGAGAAATTATTTTTATTCCAGGCTAGCCGAGTGGTGTTTGCGATACATTTTTTATTTTTACTCACCCAGCTTTGCCACTGTTTACATCCTCTGCAGCGCCATCGCTGTCGGAGTCAGAGGACACTCCGTATCCAACCAGAGAGTTCATACCTGTAACCGGAGCTAGAGCTCTGCCTCCCGATTAAAAAGCGATAACGGTGTACCTGTGAATATAAGAGGCAAGAGAGTTGTCCATTTTTCCTTCTTTAATAAACAAAACAAGGGAAATTGCTGTAAGGTTAGCTGCTGTCATTAGCCGTCGCTCAGCGTTCCTGTTTAGACTGCACTGCCACCTGCAGGACAGGAGTGGTACTGCAACTGTGACGCCACTAACCCACAAATGACACTTGACCAACACAGATAAGCTGCTTCTTTTTCTTCTTCCAGCTGCTCTCCTTGGGGGTCGTCACAGCGGATCATCTGCTTTCATGTCACTCTGTTTCTGGCATGCTCCTCTATTACACCAGCCCTTTGTGGATTATCTTCTTTTCTTTTGCCTGCTAGGTCCATCTTCAGCACCCTTTGTCCAATGTACTATCCCTCCTCTGCACATGTCCAAACCACTTCAGCCTTGGCTCTCTAACTTTATCTTCTAACTGCTGTCTCTCTTCACCTCTGCCTCCTGTCTTTTTGTCAGTGCCTCCACCTGAAAATCATACATCATAGCAAGTATCACTACCATCTTGTAAACCTTCCCTTTCACTGTCACAAATCACCTAAAATCATTTTAAAATGTATCCTTTTTTATCACGTTAGTGTGGTTATCATATTTTGTAATTCTCTCTTAGTTCAGTTTTTAAAGTGTATATTTGCTTTGAATTGTTTATCAATCTATTCAGTGTTCATTGTTGACTACTTGCATTAAATGTGCTGTATAAATAAAGCTCCAACTTGCAGGGGAAAAAAAAGATGGCTAAAATGGCTTTATAAGCATGGTGACAGGACATGTGATGTCAAACTTTGGTTATGATTTTCTTTTTAGTGGTTAAAAATCCAATTGACTGTCCATTTTCATTTCATTTTCTTGTGGAGAATAATAACTGTAGTTACATTCCTCGCAAAACAAGGCACCAGTTTGAGAAAATGTCAATGTTAGGCCTATGCACACTTTGTTAGGTACACTTGTTTAACTAGGTTTCAACACCACTATCTAATCAGCCAATCACAAGGTAGCAACCCAGTCCATTTAGGCATTTTAGCACGGTCAAGAAAACCTGCCGAAGAGCATTCGAATGGAGAAAAAAAGGTGATTTAAACTTTTAACGTGGTATGATTTTCGGTGTCAATCCGGCATTAGTAAGGCATACCTAATAAAGTGTCCATTCTATATAGAAAGTTAGATCCCAGGGCAGATCACATTTAAGTCTTTAGCTGTGATCTGCCCTTTCTGTGGAAGTTCTCCTGAAAACTATTCCCACTTATTTTTGCTCTTAGAATTTAATATTTAGGTTGTGGAAAAAATATTTTCTCTGATTTGTTTTTCCTTTAAAAATATGATTTGCGTTCTATGACTGCGCTAACTAAGACGATGCTATATTTCTTGCGTAATTACGTAATCCTCCTGTTAGACATAAGTGATTACATCATTAAAGTTCCACCTGAAGATGTGACGAGCCGGAAGTGGCCTAATTTGGAGCTCCTGTCCTCGAGCACTGTGGTTTGGACGTCAGTCTCCATAGTGATGATGGGCACTTCTAGTTTCAGCTGTTGATTTTTTTTTTTTTTTGGTCTCTTATTTGTTATCATTGGGGAACACACACACACACACACACACACACACACAACTTAAATTTAGACTATCTCCGCTCGGTCACTACCAGTAAATCGGATAAGCTGCTCATGAATAAGTTGATGAGCTCCTCCTCACTCCCCACCTCTCCTCCGCCCCCGCTTGTCCCGTTAAATTCCTCCAGTCAGGCATCAAGTTCCCCGGGGAAAGGGCGGAGATTTGGCCTTAAACTCTGTAATACAAGTACCGAACTGTAAGCAGAGGAGGTCGGACAAACCGACGTGGTTTTACGGAAACCTCAGACAAGACTGACTCTGTGGCTCTAATTAACGCAGCACTGAGTGGGAGATGATTGGCAGGCTGAAATGACCGGGAATCCGATGATGTCGGTATGAAGCAGGCGTACCCGGGACTATATTAGGGGCTGGTCTGCTCTGCTGCTACCACAAGTGAGCTCGTCTTCAAGTTGAGGTTCAATGGCAGGGAGGTCGACCAGAAGCATAAACGGCTCGAATGGGAGCAGAACCGCGCCGGCCAGGGCCGCTGCTCTAGCCGATCTGCTGCACTATGAGTGCTCCACCTTACTGGAACTCTTTGTGAGTATAAGAACTTATTCCCCCCACCACACTGGCTGCAGCCTGCCAGCAGGTCACAGTTTGCTTTTAGAGTGAGCGAGAGAGAGAAAGTCTGAGGAAGAGTGTGTGCGTGACAGAGAGAAATGGGCCAAGGTTACAAGGAAAATTAATAGATATTCTCTCTGTGTGTGTGTGTTTCCAAGGAGCTACACTGTCAAAGTGTGTGTATGTATGTAAGAGAGTACAAAAGGATGATGAAAGGGATGTGTGCAAGTGCAAGATAAGGGAGAGAGAGAGAGAGACAGAGAGAGAGTGTGTGTGTGTATATGTGTGTGTGTTTGAAATAGAAGGAAATTATGTCTAGGACAGCAGGGGGTAGGAATGCAGAGCAGAGAGGGGGTGAAGTTTTTGGAATGACATAGGTGGGTGTTTTTGGCACACAGTCATCAATGCTTGGGCACAAAGCCTTCATCTCTTTTCCACCAGCTTGTCTCTCTTTGCCAAAAGGTGTGAGAGCGACTGTTTATTACAACTTCTTGGGTTCCTGCCAGTTTGCCTCATCCATCCTTCCTTTCATGTGGCCTTGCTAGGAGCAAGGGAGCAGCCGGGCACACTGCTTCACTTCCATCCATTTGCAGGTTACCTTCCAGTGAACATGTCATCTACGAGTTGGACTTGTCTTAGCTTGTCACACAGAAATTTGTGTATATTCATCTGCATTTTTTATACCACACCTGGAAAGCACTGCCACTGAAACAGATCTTCTTCCAAATCTTTGGCACGCAAGTGTCAGTGAATCAAATGCACACTATTGAAGATTATTTTTTATCGTGTTATTGTCTCCAGGCACGCTGCCCCACTCTCTTGCATACTGGGTGGGAAAACCCAGGTTTGCAACATCAATTTCCTCTTGAAAACCACTTAAGCCATTTCCAGAGCTTATCAGAACTCCTAATACTCCATAAGTGCACTGTTTATGGCTTTGAAAACACTTCTTGGTGTATCCATAACTGCCTGACTCACGCCAGGAGTAAATATAAATTTCCTTTGCTGACTTTCGAAGCACACAGGCCACATTCAGGCCGCTGTGTCAGGCTAGTTCTGACTTGCAGGGTTACACATTAATGCCTCAGCAGAATGGCAGAAAGATTTTTCCAATTTTCTTTTCAAGGAGCCAAAACTTCTTGTAATTTTTTTTAAAGGCGGTCTTAAGCAGATAACCTGCATTGCATGTCTAGGCATTTTGTTACTACTAGCCTGTCACAAAAGGTGATTCCCAAAGATCTATTGGCTGAACACTCAGTACATCTTTGCACAGCGTGCAGTGTATCCTTACAATTTGACTGGACAAGTGGGGGAGAAAAGAAGAGGTATCAGGCCTAAAAGACTGTCTACAGTAGATGAACAGTAACTGAAAGTCATGTCCTTATGAAATACAAAACAGCTCAGCAAAGACCTGGCGCAGGACCTGAGAGATGCACCTAGCTCTTCAGCTGATCCCCGTGCCATTTGTCAAAGCCTCCTCTGAAATGTTCTCAATGGAAAATTATGCAAGAACTTGACTTAAAATTAGTGACAACAGGTCTCATGAAGTGATGAATCTGAATTTGAAAACTGTCAGTATTGTATTAAAGGTAATTGGGGAAAGGGGCACAACTCAGCCATTTGTGTGTTTTACAGATGGCCAAGTGTCTACAGCCATCTGCAAAGCATGGTAGAGGCTCTGTTATGGTTCGGGGCCGCATATTAACCAGTGGTGTTGGAGATGTTGTCAAAGTCAATAGAATTATGAATGAAGAAAAGTAACAGCAGATTTTAATCCACTGTACCACAATACCTATGCTTTGTAGAAAGTGTCCAATTGGCCTATTACAGCATAACAATGATCCTAAACACACTGTCAACGCAGTAAAAGTATACCTGGATTAAAATACACACAGTGGAACACTATCAGTCATGGATTAGTCCGGACATCAACATCGCTGAGGCAATGTCGGTCATCTTGACAGAGAGAAGAGAAGAGAACAAACGGCAGCCAACATTGAAAGATGAGTTGGTTCTCCAGGCTTCTTGAAGGACATTCATTCTTAGACTACTTAAAAAAAATTACAAATTGGTTGGAGTTCTATATTTAGTTTAGTGAATATTTAAATCACAGTTTCAATTCAGTTCAGTTTTATTTATATTGCATCAAATTGCAAAAACAGTTGCCTCAAAGCATTTTACATTGTAAGGTAAAGACCCTACAACAAAGGAAACAGAGAAAAACTCCAACAATCATGTGACACCCCCCCCCCTCCTATGAGCAAGTGCTTTAGTGACAGTGGAAAGGAAAAATTCCCTTTTAACAGGAAGAAAGCTAAAGCAGAACCAGGCTCAGGGAGGGGGCAAAGGATTCAGGATACCCTGATCCAGCCTTAACTATAAGCTTTATAACAAAGGAAAGTTTTAAGCCTAATCTTAAAAGTGGGGAGGGTGTC